CCCTCTCTGCATTCCCTGGTTTATTGTCACGCTCAGCATGTACTGTCTTCTATTGCCATCTAGGGATACAGACTGGAAACAGCAAGCAAACATTTACATAAGCTTTATTTAAAACCTATTTCAAGCTGATAAAACAGGTTGGTTTGACAGAGGCTGGTTATTTAGTTGCTTTTGGGGAAGAAAAAAATATTTTAAAATCCTTTCTCCGTGATCTCACAATAACTGTGTTACGATCACTTCAATCCCACTTATCACACACAAAGGATGGTAGACAGGTAAGCACACACCACAGAAGTCAGCTCACACCTCTGCATTGCAGGACACTGCTTCAAACCTGGCAGATATATAAGATGTAATCTGGAAAATACTGTCCATCCAATTTCAACAATTTTAGGACAATTTCTCTTGATGCATGCTTGGACTGGAAAAAAGTCAACCCCCTTTCTTCCTAGATCACTAAACTAGACCAGAGGCATAAACTGCAACTGATGCAGCTTTCAGCAGCTGTATTGTTCCCATCACAAAGCTGTGCTGCTGGATAAGCAGAGCTGGGCAGCTCAACCTAAGCAGCATCATGCTTGCCAAAAGCTCACACAGTCCATGCTGTGTCTCACTGCAAGGGGATATGTAAGAAAGCACTGCTTAGGGGATGGATTTAGAGCACTGAGCTAAACACAAGAACTCTTCTGAGCAAAAATGCCTGTTACATAATGTAAGAGAGGCTATGTTAATAGTTGGTTTATAGAAACATAGCCCCACAAGTCAAGCACTTGAAGATTATCACGTTGCCTCTTTGAATTCAATTGTTTCCCCCAAGCTCCCCTTTTAAAACATTCTTAATGCCTTCCTTCTAAAAAAAATGAGTATTAGCAGTCCAAAATCAACTTAGCTGCTCACATACCAACCAGAGATCAGACATCATCTCTTGTGATTTAGGTGAGCTGGGAGTCTACTGAGTAAATGGAGCGAATGTCACAGCCTAGACAATTCCAAATATCACATCACCTTTTTTTTTGCTTAACACCCTGTAGAGCCTTGAGACAGCCATGTAAAAGTGGTACTGCCATTTTAAGCAACTGACTGAGCAAGTTTCCTTTGCATTTCCACTGCTGCACTGTCATCTAGCAGCAGGCAACTGCTAGCAACAGCGTGCTTTCATTTTGCGTATAAAATACTGTCCTCAGATGCTGACTTGTTCTCAGCCAGCCTTGCCCATTTCCAGTCTCGCAGGGCTTTTTTCCTCCACTGCAAATTTCCATAGTGGACTACTGGCAAATTCCCTCGTTCAGAGGGAACTGTCCTCAAGTTGTCAGGAGGTCTTATCAGGCAGACAAAAGATAATTGAAGGACTATAACACACCAACACCAAGCATCCAGCTCCATCAGATCACAAACCTTAAACAGCAAGTTCTGTTAGTTTAGATTTATTGCTGGAAATGCAGCTGTGTACCAAACTGTCTGCTATAAACACCAGCTAAGAAATGGAAACCACACAGCTGCTCCTGCACAGTGCAAGGCAAGTGCCAGCAGATGTATTGGCTTCAGGTGGGGTGACACAAAGGGCTCTGCTCTGCACAGAGGTACAGATACCTCCTTCCTCCTTGCCCCCTGAAGAAACACATGCTGTTGCATTACGCACTTACCTTCCAGTGTTACTGAACACTGATTTGGTTTCACTGCAACTTTGTTCTAAGAATGAAACAAGTTACAGACCCCATGAGATGCCCCTTCCCTCATCCCAGTGTCCTGCAGAAGCAGCTCAGCGCTCTACAAGACAAGCAAGGGTGGGTGAGGATTCCAGTGCTCAGCTGCTTTCAAATAAAGCACTGTTCACAGTGTTCCACTGCAGGACAATCAGGAAATATCTTCATGCCACTGCAAAATCATACCTAAGGGAAAGGTGGGTAAGGAAGGAAAATACTCTTTTTAGTATTCCCTGTAACTTTTTTTCATACTGAAATCTCACTCGTTCTCCTGAATAACTCATGGCTCATTTTACAAGTTACTGCTGGACAAAGGAACCCAGACACTGGTTTTGTTCTGCATCTTGCATCCATGCTTTGAGTTACAGGTGCTGTAGGTCTGACAAGCGTGTTTGCAGAGCTATCTTTTTCACCAGTGTTAACAAGCACAGATGTGTCAATACTACTGATGCACGTTGATGCAGCCCATCAATCATCAGGAAATAAGCCCCTCACTGTAGATGTATTAAGCAGCTAAGGGTGCCCTCCTCTACAACAGGGGCTGCCCTTAGTTGATTTTTTCTAGCAGGACTCTTTGGAACAGGCCATTTTTAACCTTCCTCACTGCAGAACTACTCTCTGCTTCTACATCATTGTATTTGACATTTGCTAGGTCCATCTAAATGAGCACCCTCCTAGTTCACATCATGGACAGCTACCAAAACATCTGCAGTGCCACCTCTCACGGAGTCAGCAGCTCCATTATGGCACCAAGAGTTGTCTGTCAGTACTGTAGGAACAGTGCTGTTTCCATACCTAATTTGATAGGGACCACAAACAGCTGCAGATGAATCCCATTTTCAAGCAGTGTGGCCATTCTACCTGCAACCACATCCACAGAATTCAGCTACTCTAACCGAAGCTTCGACATAATGCACAGATTAAAGTGGTGGGGTTTTTTCACCTGTATAATCAAAGATGGATAAGCAAAGATGGCTTAAAATATGGGGAAAAAAAAATAATTATATACATAAGTACTACTATCTGACCCCAAATTCAGTTCTGAAATGTGATGTTACATTTCACAGATGTCACGTTCTAAAATAGCTAAGCCCAAACTTGTGCACATATTAGTGGCTTCTTAAAACACTGCTTAGTCAAGAAATTGGATGATCTTCTACCTAAAATTTCAGATCTCAAGGCAATAGTCATTGTCTTGTTTTAGAGCTACGATCATCCCAGAACAAGTCTCAATACTTCTATGTCAGTTAACATGACTTACAGCAGATATTTAAAAGTGGAAACGGAACACTCCTTGAAGACACCAGCTCTGTTACAAGAGGATGACATACACCACATTAAATGGTACTTCTATCTTCCACCAAAAAAAAGAAAAACCAATCCTTTCTTACTAGTATTAAAATTCCATTTGCTTCGGAAAAGAAAAATACATAAAACAACATTGGTACATTTTATTTCAAAAGACTATGGTCTCTGCTCTCTAGCAATACTTTAATACAGGTTACGACTTGTCCAAATAATTATCAAACGGCCTGTCACATTCTTTAACTTTATAAATACTAGTCTCATACATATATTCACATAATAAGAGAGAAGGCTGAGCCAAATTAAACAAGGGTGTCAATGAAAACTCCATACCCTGCAGCCTTCCAGGAGGATTAAGAACTGCTGGCTGGAACTCAAAGTACCTGACCTGTACTGTAGGATTAGAGCAGCACAGCTTGTAACAGGGCAGCACATGAGATCTTACACAGACTACAAGCAGGACCTGTGTTACAGCAGGGGGCACTGCCTCACCCCTGCTTACTGGTGGTTTGTGAATACATTACGCATCAATAAGGCACCAGCGTAGTGATTACAGTCAGGATGGCAGAAGAGGATAAAGGCAAAACTCTGCTTAGTTTTCAGATATGTAAGATAAGCTCCCAACAGCAGCTCACAAGTTTTACGATGCATTAGAGCTTAGATGCATTTAGAACCTTAAATGCCAAGCCCTTGAGGAAATTCTATTAAGTGTTTTAAAAAATACACAAACAGAAATAGCAATGCTAGAAGTCAGCTCCAGGAAAACCTAAACAGATTAAAGAGACAAGCTTATTTCCTAAGGTTTTGTGTTGTTTTCCCCCTCCAAATCGTTATCCAGAATAGAATACTTCCTTTAGGCTGTACAAAGATCACACTGCAGGAAAGGAGATGTTAAGCAATGCCATTGTGCACACGGTATTCACTGGTTCAATTTGTGCACTCCTTTTCAAAGGAATTTGCTTGGGAAAATTAGTGCTCATCTGTCCATAGCTGTGCTCCTCACAACTGTCTCTGAAACAAAGACTTGGCAGATCACACAGGCAGGTCAAGTGCCTGATTATTCACAGAGAATGGAAAGCTTACAGACTTAAACCACTATCTTCTACAAATACTGACTGCTACCTGAGTTTGGGAAGCAATGCTCTCCTTCAACAGATGTATGCTCTGAACAGCCAATTCCAACAATCTGTATCTATACAAATTTCTCTTATGTCTATCTCTTTATCTATACAACAGCTTACTCCAGCTTACTGGCCAGCTATAATAGTCTAATATACCTATACACAGCAAGGCTACGAAACAGCAGTTCCTGCAGCCAACTCCAGCTAGCAGCCAAACCTCGGTATCTCTAAGGAGGCAACCCTGCAGATACGGAATGTAGAGGCTTTACAATATTCCAGCAGAAGAAAACACTGCTATCTGCTGTCTGAGCTTGCACAGCCTCAGTCCCTGTAGGTTGAGAAGTGTTTTCTAGCTCCCTTTTCCTGCCTCAGTAATTACAGGCAACATCCTATTTTCTAATTTATCTTGGGACAAAGTTTGAAAACTGGCTTCACTGTGGAACAAGGTGGAACAGCATAACCCTAAATAGCTTTTTTCTAGTCTCACGTTCTTCAGCTTTCTTGGAACAAGGGTCTGTATTTCAAGTCTGCGTTTTGACAGACATTTCAATACAATAGAACATGAAATTGTGGAAGCCTTTTCTCTGGAAGAAACCATGTCTGTAACATGGTTAGCTACAATCTCATCGTGACACCAGTTTTAAACAGTTCAAGGACAAATTCCTGCATTCTTTCTAGCAAGACGAATTTTTGCTTGCTGCAACAACAAATCCCATCAATTTGAATTTAAAAGGTACTACTTATTCCCTCTCGTTTTTGTTCTTCAAAAGTCAAAGCACAAGCAGCTCCACCAGTACAGCATAAAAATCAAGCCACCTATCAACTCAAGACTCCTCCTTTCAGAAAGCACTCTTAAATGAAGGGAACAAAATAAAGTTTCTTATTTATTTCAAGTAGAATGACTACAGAGAAATGACTCAGCTTAGGTAATGAAAGTTAACAACAGCATTTGAAATGAAGGCTGACTCAGTAACACATGAGACTTGCTAATCATTTGTTAATCTCCAATTCAAAAACCCACTACAAGTGCTCATGTAGTATCAGTGAAACAGACGACTATCCTGTTTCCCCGCTCCCCCCATTGGGCAACAGAACAAGCTTTGAGATAAAACATCTTTTTCCAGTATTTGATCAAATGAAGATCATTAAGTGCTACACACACCAAAGGGTTAATCACCTGTGAATCAGGACTTGGTAAACTTGGGGAACAATGACTTTATCTCACTAATGTGCAAGACTAGCATGATAGTTGTCAGTCTTTGGATTTTAGTTCCAGGTGTTGATATTCTGTTTACAGGAGGCTTCTCCTCCTCATCCTAAGCACATGACACCTGAAGGGTACTCTCTCTTCTGGGACACCCTTCTGGAGCAGAAAGGCCTGAAGAATGCATGGAAATGCATGGAGAGACAGAAGAGTGGATTCCTACAATTATCTAAACCACAGAGTACAAAAATGTCATATGGATGCTCTGCAGTGCTCCCCCAGTTGTTATTAGTGGCATAAAAGTTCTTACCTGAACTCATGAATCTAAAATTTTCTAACAGGTTGCAACTGAGCATTTGCCTAGAAAGGCAAGCCTCTGAATGTGAAGAGTACAGATACAGGTGGTAATAAACAGGAAAATTTCTCACATTCTTGATGTCTGCTTTGGCAATCCATTTTTTTTCCCCCACGTTCACCAGATGAAGTCATTTCATTCCATTAAGAGACGTGCCTTGCACTCAAAACACTAAATATCTACAGCTAATTAAAACTAGATGAGGAGCTTGGTAGAAAAGAACCCCAACACCTCTATTATAACACTGGATAAAGCCTAAATCAGCTTTCTCTAGTAACACACAAACCCCAGAACAAGATCCTCCATATTAAAATTTTTCACACCAGAAAAAAAGCTTAGTGAAGAGCCTGTTCCTTTCCTCACTTCTGCAGCTAACACTACCGGCTAATAGAAGTTCTCTGCCTGCCAATATTAAATGTTCAATCGTTGCAGAATCCAGTACTGTTCCCCTTCACTCTGACAGAAGAGATGAAAGTCAAACGGTTTGGGAGAAGCATTCAAGACCCTGATGTTTAATATACTCTCAGTAATAGCAGCTTTAAGTAGATGAACTTATGTTAGCCCTACTACGCTGAACACCATTACTACATTCTGCAGTAAATTTTGGAGAGAAGATTCAGCTACTTAATAAAGAACATCTTATCATGCTGCTATTAAGATACACCTACATAAAAGACTTAAGCTCTAGTCTTACAGCTACAGCATAAGATTGCATCAAGCTAATCTACTGATTCGTCAGCTAATACTTCATGTAGATTTGCCATTTTTTTTCAGTAAGCAGTGAGCTATACTTGCCACAAAACACTTCAGCCACTCTGTAGTAAGGCTGCTGCACTAGTTTAAACCTTAAGCTAAAGCATTTCAGATATCCCAGAAAATACATGAATCAACTTTTATTTTTTAACCAACACCACACACTATTTTAATACAACCCACACAGTTAAGTCAGGTGAAAAACAGTCAACAATCATCACTAAAACATTTCCATTGGAAATGTGCAGAAGTTCACAAGCATCTTCATTACCACCTTACTGGAGTTTTCTTATGTGTTTCTAGTCTACACACCACATGTTTCACACAGTCATGCAAATCTGAAACCAATTCAGAATGGTGAGATAATAGGGAAGTCCATTCACTGCAAAGATACATTTTTCACAGAAGAGCCAGGCTGGGTAGGACCAAACACTGAAGGATTCTTCATGGGAGTAGGGGTGGGTTAGAAACCATGAACCTTCAGTTGTTCTTCCTTGACAATGCCAATCTACAGGAGAAAAGCAACAAACTTCAGTACAGCTTCCACACGGAAGATACTGTGGTATTAAGTCACTGCAATCTTCTACTTTGATTAAAGAAACTGAAATACAGTATAAACTCAAGAAAGCAGTGTTCTGTTTTCTAGACTATTTCTGGGCTACAGAGAAGAATTTACTACACAGAAAATAAAATCCTGTCAGATGCTGGATTTTTCTGTAGTCCTAGCACTTGGTCTTCAATGGTTTAGAATCCCTGCGCATCATGATTTACATCAGCAAAAACGGTGGCGACAGCTTCCTCTACAGAAGCACCAGTTTTAAAATCATGGTTTGCATCAAGCACTTGATTTACAAATGAAGTTAAGCTGCACTGCCAGAAAACAAAAAGTGTGTTGTGTTGTAGCAGGGTAAATGCACTCCAAAGCAACATTTTCGCTCAAGGTCTACTAATCCTGCAAATGTCATTCTACTTTCTGGGTGCAAGTATAAAGGAACTATCATAGACATATTTAACTGCTTAATTAGCATCAGTGTCATCCATTACACTATTACTTGCAGACAGGTTTAGAATATTGCTAGGTATTTATCAGTAGTTCCTCACCTCCAAGAGGAACTGGCAGATGTTCTTCCTCTGGTCACCTTGAAGCTGGATAACTTCACCGTATTCAGGATGCTCAATCACAGTACCATTACAAGCAAATTTCTAGAGAGAGAGATTTATATTGTAAGACATCTAATGTGCATTTTGATTTTGCTTAGTAAGACTTTTCAGGAGAATTTTATCCCAAAAGCTGCTCACTAAGTTCCACTGCCAAGCTCAGCAAAGGCTAGATGTACTCTAAGCTCATTCTGAAAGCAAATCGAATATGTCTGATATATACAGAGAGAAAAAGCAAGCTGCTGAAATTCAAGTAAAGAGAGGATTAGCTCCCATCCTAAAGGAACTGGCCAATGCAAACTACAAGAACAAAAAACAAAGGCCTAAAGTACTCTTCCAGCTCTGCACTATTAAAAATATAAGTAATGTTACCCTAGAAAAACTCAAGGGCTCTACTTCAATGGTAACCCAACTCTGGCAGAAGCAGGAATGCAGAAATAATTTATCTCCAATTGATCTTATTCTTTACATCAACAATGCCAAACATTTGTGAAATTTAAATGAACAATTCAGAATATGCAGAATTTTATTCATAGGAAAGAAACATTTAGCTTTTTAGCAAAAAGCAAGCATCACTGGACACCAATGGAACTTTTGAGACAGATAGGGGAAGGGAATCTCAAAAGTGATGTCCACTACAAGGAATGATCTAAAACAAATGTTTGGTTACTTAACATTAATAGCTAACATAACTCTTTCATCTTTATTCTTAAATCAACAATTTCACCTTTTTGAAGGCTTTCACAAGTTTCTTCTTGTCATAGTCATCTGCAATTCCCTGAACGGTGGTTAGAGTCTTTCTTCCGTTTCGCTGTTGGATCCTTATATGAATGTAATCCTCAGTCCCTGCCGGGAGTAAGTCGTCACCCTTTGTAGCATCAGCAAAGGGGTCTGCAAGAAGAAAAACATCCATCTAAATCCCATGGAAGAAAAAAAGAACAAGCTTAAAACCCAACAATTCCTCACCTCACGTCTTTTTTTAAGGGTAATCTAGCTCTTTTTCTCTTCTGTTTCAAAATCTATTAACAACAAACTTTCTAGAGCTCTATTAAGTCTCCCCTGGCTTACTCACAGCGCTCTTTAATACCTGTCTGGATGTAACACTTTTCAGCCACAGTCCTATTTTACTGCACTATTTTATTTACTGTAAACTGTAAATTGTGAAGCTCCTCACCTCAAATGAAGAATCCTATACAGCATGTGCTTTTAAAAGCACGTTTCAGACAGTCATTAAGTACTTCAAGGGGAAAAAAAAAGTTTGTAAGGTGGTCATATTTCTGTTAATCAGGTTAACTGATTAAGTACAGAAAAATAGAACAACTCCTGAACAAACACACCTTTACAAGTTCAAAACGTAAACTGTATGCCATGACAACTACATTGCCAGCCTTTTCAGTCACAGACATAATTCCTAGCTTTTAATGTAAAACATAGCAACAGACACTATGAGAGACCAGATGCAGTCTCTGAACCAACCTCTCAATGTTAGGTAAGAATTATAACAAGGTTATTTAGGCTTTAAATGCAGCAATGCCAGCTCTGAAGTACTTCCAAGCTTAAATGTACCTAACACTGGTGAAACAGGCATTTCAGAAGAAAGGTTTCCAGTTAATGAAATCATACAATCATTATAATTAGAAAAGACCTCTAAGATCACCTAGTCCAACCACTGACCGACCATGCTCACTGACGATGTCCCTCAGTGCCACATCCCCTCGGTTCTTGGACACCTCCAGGGATGGTGTCTGCACCACCTCACTCGGCAGCCTGTGCCACTGCCTCACTGCTCTTTCTGATAAGAGTTTTTTGCTACTATCCCGAACATCCCCTGGTACAACTTCAGGCCGTTCCCTCTCACCCTATTTCTTGTTAGGTGGGAAAAGAGGCCGACCCCCACCTCACCACAACCTTCTTTCAGGTGATCGTAGAGAGCAATCAGGTCTCCCTTGAGCCTCCTCTTCTCCAGACTGAACAATCCCAGCTCCCTCAGCCGCTTCAGTCCCTCACAGCTCCACTGCCCTTCTCTAGACACGCTCCAGGGCCTCTGCGTCCTTTAGTGAAGGCCCCAAAACTGAACGCAGTATTCCAGGTGCGGCCTCATCAGCGCCGTGGGACAATGCCCTCCGCGCTTCCAGCTAGTTATTTCTGATACAAGCCAGCGAGCAGCTGGACGCCCTCGCTTCTGTTGCCCCATGTCGGGGCACAAGGCCAGGCAGCCCGAGGCAGCCTCAGACCGCAGCGCTGGGAAATGGCGCTGCACGAGGGGCTCCGGCGGCCCGACACCGACCGGGGCTCGCTTGGGGCCGGCTCCGCGGCTACCCGGGACGGGGAAGGGGCGGCCGGCGGGCTCTTACCGAAGGATTGGAGGTTCTGGATAGATGACATGCGATTCTGCGGCGAGAGGCTGGCGCAGCGGGGAAAGGCCGCGGCTGGCTCCGCTCGGGTCACGTCTGCGGCTCCGCAATGCCGGCGGGGGCGGGGAGCGGGGAGGGGAGGGAGCGGGGAGGGTGGGGAAAGAGCGAGGGGTGGGATAACGAGAGCGCAAGGAAGCGGACAAACCTGCGAGGGGAGCAAAAAGAGAAAGGAATGAGAGGGGGAGCGAACGCCGGCGAAAAACAGCACTCGGAGCCCCCGCGGCACGCCGCCCCGCATTACCGCTAACAAGCAGCGGCCTCCGTTTCCCCTCACAAAATGGCGGATCTCCCGCGCCGCACTCCTGAGCGCCCCTGCCGGCCCCGCGCTGGCTCACGGGAACTCGAGTTCTCCCCACCCCGCCGCTGAAGGCCGCGCGTCGCCGCTCCGCGCCGAAGGACTACAGTGCCCAGTGTGCACCGCCCCGCTGCTGGGGGAGCAGATGGCTGCTGGGTCCGCAGCCTCGGCTTTGGGGCCTTTTATTGAAAGAGCAATATTAAAAAATACTTTAAAATATTGAAAATATTGAAAAGGTCAATTGATCTAAAGAAGTAAGTTGTAGCATATCCTTAGAAATAGCTGATGTGAAAAGCAGAAATACCATATAGATATTAGCAACATATTTTCGAAACATGGTTACCGAATTATGTGACAAATTCTTTCTCATGAAGCTGCCATAGACTTTAAATGTTCTAAACATTTAGGTTGTTCATTAGGCCAGGAGTGAAATACATTTAATGTTAGGATGCCATAGGCAGGCTCCAAGATACTCCCCTCTATCCTCCTTCCAAGCTTATCTCTATGCAAGGACAGATGGATGATCGGAACAACGACCCAGTGTAAAGGGCACAAATGCTAGGGGGTAATTAAACAATTAAGAGGTTGTGTTTATGTTCATGTTGTAAAGCAGACATGACAGTTATGAGCAGATGTTTGTTAAGAAAACGATTGTTAGAAGGCAATTAACCAATTAAGATATTTGTGTTTTGGTGGCAAGAATTTGTGTTTACTTGGTATTTGCATGATTAGTGAAACGTCGTGAAAGAGTGTAATGTAAACCTGCAGTACTCAGGCAATGAGGACCAAGGGGAGAGAGAGATAAGAGTCGAGCAGTAGGGGATAAAAGATGAAACTCTGTTTTCTGTGAGCTCCTGCTTGCAGGAGGCTCAACACGGCAATTGTGCATAATATCTGCTTTATCAGAGATACCATCCTGGAAAATTATTTGGATATTTCCAACACCTCCATCAGGAAACCCTGCTGGAATAACTACTCTCCAGCATACCTTCAGCAGTTGCTGTGACTGACCAGGTCTGATCCTCCACGTTGCCTCCCTTATCATTTGTTGGTCAAGACTGTGATGCCATATGCTCTTAATTATGACTTTCTCCTTTCCCTTTTTTTTTTTTTTCTTATTCTCCACTAGAAATGTCCTTGATCAGAGAGCTTTACAGAAATGAGAAGTTATGATTCCTATACATACTTCTGGGGCATATATTTAAGCTAAATCCATTGTGGATTTCTTGCTTGCTAAGCCCATTTGATTTTGTCTTTACATTTGATACTAGAAAATGCATTTGTCTATGAAGGTAAATAGAAGGAATACTTTCCTACATGATGCTGCACAGCTAAGTTAGACAAGTTCAAAAAAGACTGAGTTTCCATATTATCTCCAGCTTTTGGGGGAAATGTTGCCTTTGTGTTAAGTTCAGCCAATCTCTTTATGGTCTGGACTGTACTACAAGAGAGACTTTTGGAGAATTAGTTAAATGAGAGGCTTACCACACCAATACTTTCTTTTTACTCTCTGTCTCCTTGCTTTTTCCCCCATTTTTCTAGCAGTGATTCTTTTTTAAGTTTCTGATTTGAAAGATGAAACAGTAAAAGCCCTGTGATTTTCAAGATGGATGGAGCACATTGGTAGGCAGGAGCTGATCTGCACAAACTTTTTGTGCTGGCTTTATCTTTCTTTCTGCAATGTTGATGTCTGTGATCCGTAAGGACGAAACAGAATAAGTTGTACAAACATGACGGTCTGGTGGTGATGGTTGGCTGAGGGGCAGGATGCAGCACTGCGCGCGTGGATCGCCAGCTCCGTTTGGAGTGAAACTGAGACTTTGCGGACTAATCTTTTCTACCTTTATTTTTAATTAAAGATGCTGCTAGCGCCGCTGATGGCACAGCCTCTTGCAGGGCTGCTCTGGGTCGTCGTCACTGTCAGCCCTTCTCTTAGGGGCTGCTGGGCGCCGACAGGGGAGCGGCGAGGAGCTGAAGAGCCGCTGTGCCCCGCTCTGTCTCCTCGTGGTTCCCTCAGGCTGTGAGCGGTGGGGCAGTGACTGGGGCAGCCATGAAGGACAGCCTGCGGTGCGCTGGGCAGGTCCTGCGTGTTGGGACTGGCGGGCCGTGAGCTGAGGGTGGCTCGTAGGGAGGCTGTGGGGCTCGGAGCGGCCACAGGGGGCTGTGCTGGGGGCTGGATAACGAAATCCAGGTCATCGTTATCGTCCCACTCAGCAACCTTGATGACAGTCATGACCGTCCTGCAGAGTGGGCAGCTGTTCCTCTGCTTGGCCCACTGCAGGATGCAGACCAGGCAGAACTCGTGGCGGCAAGGTACCACATAGGCCATGTCCTTTTGCTCGTCACGGCAGATAGGACACATCCATGCCTGCTCAGCTGCCATGATGTTCACGCTGTGGCCTGCTGGGGACTGAAGGCAAGGATCTGCTCCCCCGTCACCAGCACCACAGTGATGGAAGTTGCGCACTGCAAGAAGGGAGAGAGGCCACGGTCAATCGCTGTCCCAGGGTCAGGCAGAGGAAATATGCCAGTCCCTCGGCAGGAAACCCTCCTGGTCCCATGCCTGGGCCGCCCACACCCCTCAGGGTCAGGCTTCGGCCCTGGCAGCTCCCCACATCCCAGCGCTCACCCCATTTCCACCCAGCTCACCTCTGCTGCTACGCGTGCGCCTCGTGGGACCCCGGCTGCCTGAGGCAGACAGGCCAGGGAAATGCAGGTGATGGCTGTAGGGATGGGCACTGAGAGCCGCTGCCCGCAGTCCCCAAAGCACAACCCAGCACCCAAACCAAACGCTCGTTCCACCTCCAAGCCTCGCACACACGCTCGACAGGAGTCCAGGCACGAACAAACTGGACCAGGCTCTGCCCACGCCCAAAGGTTCTCAGTGAGGGTGATGTGGTCACAGTCCTTCTCTTGAACCTGTCATCACCTGTTGCTCTGTGATGTTACCACTGTCCCTGTGCCCACGCTGCACTTTGTGTCTGGACACTGTAAAACTCCTCTATAAGTCAGGAATTCTTGTGCAGCCACTGCTGTGGCCATAGTTCTGTGACTGTCATGATGCCAAAGGTTTCCAGCTGCACTTTGCTGTAGAAGATTGCACAAAAAAGCAAAAAATAGTAGCAGTTAAAATAGGTCTAAAACCCGTGTGGAACCCAGATTTGTTGTTGCTTTGGGTTCAATTTTAGATTATGTCTAATTGTTGGAGAGCCCAGGCTGGAGTTAATCTCAGTCACTGATATCTACTAGACATCAGTACTCAAAGAATGGATTGGGAGTGATACTCCTGCCATTACATGATTAATGTCTAACCTGGCAACTGTTGTTCAGGAAAAGATGAACATGTGAATCACTGAAGGTTATTTATGACTGGATCAGCTCCAAGGATGAAATCCGGGGATTCATTGGCTTGCAGATGAAAAATAGAATAGAATGCAGGCAAAAAGGACACTTTTGTGCAAAATGCCATGCTAATTGAGAACCCAGCAGTAACTCCCCAGATATGTCAGAATGCTGGAATGAAGCACTGCATGCTTCAAGACAGGCCAAAATATTTCCAACCTCCATTTCCTTTCTTGAACTGTGATCTTCCCTGCTCCTACTGCATGACTGTCTACTCTAGCCAGCTGCATTCATACGCCATGCATACCTCAGTGCTGTGCAGAGGGCTGTGTAATGGAGGGAGGAAGAAAAGTAAAAGTTTCAGAAGAAATATTCTCCTTACCTCCAGCAGTGTGTTTTGGAAGGTGACTGTAACCAGGCTAAGCCTGGCTTGTATTTTTCCATCAGGGTTCTAAGTGTGGTGCAGCATGCCAAAGAAGGGCTTAGGGAGATTGGTCAATAGCCTGAGCTGCATGCAGCCCGTGCCTGAGCTCCTCAGTAAGCCTGTGATAACTGGGAGAACTGGGAAAACTTGGCACCTTGTTAGTGGTAAGCACATGAATATCCAGTCCAGATTCCTAGAGACCTGGGTCATATGCCTTTTGGTTTAGCTTTAGTATGCCTTTAGGGTTTGACATACTCATCCTTTCATTTGAAAGCTATAGATGTTGGTTGCTCTGATAACAAGAAGATAATTTCTGTGTTAGCCACTAGATGGTTCTGTTTCTCAAAGAAGAAAATTACTCCAGAATACAGCCAGTCCTGGCTTTTCTTGAAACCTGAATATTAGTAGAGAACGGGTTCAGTGTAATTCCACACGTAATTAACACTTCATCTAGTTGCCTGACGTGGTTTTCTGAAGCTCACTTAGTGCAGCTGGATGTCTCCTCAATCGCTGATTAAATATTTCCTAGTTAATGTCAATTCAGAATTTCCAGGCAGAACAAATCCCTCCCTCTTATTCAAAGATAAGCCAAATCAGAATGGCAACGTTTTACTGCTTCTTTTCCCATACAGAAGTCATGCTGTACTGCAGTATGGAAAGCAGAGCAGATTCGTGGCTCATGCAGATATTCAGCACCGTGGCATTTTCAAACTGTTTGCATTCTGGTATGCAAAACAGTGAGAGTGGTGGGCTAGAAAAAACACCACCACCCTATTTCTCTATCCACTGTATCCAATAAAGTACTGAATATGCACTGGTGGTTTTCACCTTCTGTTTGTGAGCGCGTGCCCAACTTCTCCCTAAACACAGAAAGATGCAAGTTTTAACACTGAATCTTCTTCCCCTTCACTGCACACCAAGATGTCCTCGAGATGATTTTCCCAAGTCACTCTCTCATTAACTCCATTCTTTTGATCGCTCTCTCCCAGTTACTTCCAACTAGGAA